ATACTTTACAAATGACAATGAGACCTCTTCAGTCATTCTCAGCATAGCCCCCTGGATATTTCCAGTAACTCATCCATTTCTAACAGGCAGGGCCTGATTGCAGACAGGGGGTGGGGGGGAGGAAGATGAGCCCAAACTCTCAAGTGAGACATTCCTGAGTTTGTGTTCTGGCCCTGCCATTTGTCAGCTGATTGACACAGAATTCTTTCCTTATCTGTACTATATGTCTAATAATTCATACCCATTATACAGATATTGTGAACTTAAGTAGCAATGGTAGGAGATGTTTGTTGACAACTGTTGAACTCTTAAATGCTTGATCTGTTTTATCCTTTGTGATTCTGCTCAGTTAGGAATTCCAAAGCTGGGGTCTGAAGATTGGTATATTTTTAAACCTCCCCAGTTAATTCTCAGATCAGTTGAGAACCATGGTTGCGTATTAATATTTAGACAATGATTAACTGCTCAGGGTCTGAGAGATTAACAGACCTGATTCCATCACCCACTAGCTGTATGCACTTGGCCAAGTCTCTCAACCCATTCAAGCCTCAGTTTCCTCATCCATAAAATGGGAGCAAAATATAGCATTCACTTTTGAGAATTGTTCAGAAGGTAAAATAAGTTAGGTGACTTATTTTAGGTTAAGTGACTAACCTAAAGTTAGGTGACTATGCCTGGCATGCACAAAATGTTTGATAAATGTTAGCTTGTGCCATTAGGCCAACTCACTTTTCTTAGGTGACTGAGAACTCAAAGACCTTTTGACCTTTGTGCATAAGTGACTCTGTTTTAGTTTAAATTTATTGCTCTTCCATCTACATTGTTCATTTCAAATTCTAAGTGTTAGGGAAGGCAGACTAGTATGTTACAGTGGAAAAATCCTTGTGTTTGGTCCAACAAGATTGAGTTTGAATCTATGTATCCATTTGAGCCTCATGGGAGAACAATCCCCTCCATTGTGGTGAGAATTGGAGATAATTCATGTAAAGGGTACAACATATAGGTATTGCATTATTGCCAGCGTTTTGGTTCTAAAATGCACAAGATTTTGCAAAAGGGAAGAAAGCCCTTAAAAAAATTCAAACAGGAAACAGAGGGTGGGAAGGAGATAGAGGATGAGGAAACCCCTCATGGGGTTTGAAGCTCCGAGTCCTGGGGGACAAATCTCCATGTTACCACCACTCCGGGCTTTGGGATGGAGGAGGCACTGGTTACTAAACCTAAGAGCATGGCCAAAGAGCAAATAGTGTTGTTATCCCTACTCAGGACTGGGCCAGACCCACCTGTTTCCTTGTGCAGGATTTCCCATTTCAGCTAGAGGCTGGCTTTTACCCTAGAAGAGCCTCTGCCATATGAACTCATGGATGGTCTATGGTTTCAGCATTGAGATTGGAGAACAGAGGGACAATTCCTCTCCCTGGACTTCTTGAGAAGGAGAGTGACATTTTACTTGATACAGGCAGTCTTAGACCTATCTTTGGAAATTACAGGGGTTATTAATACTAAATGTAGTCAATGTAAATGCTTCCCAATAAAACATGCCCAACTTCTAGGTGCAGCAGCAGGGACATTTTTCCCTTCTTCCCTTCTAGGTTCTTTGGCTAGTCTAATAATTAAATTGACACAGATAGATTAACAAGAGAAGAACAAATTTAATTTCATACCTATGGGAGCTTATAGAAATATCAGACTCAAAGAAATGACCAAAACAGGCAGCTTTTATAACTTGTAGGCAAACAATAAATTTGTGAAAAATTGACAAGAGAAAGAAGTTTGGGATTGGAGTAGTAAATTGGTGAGGAAATAACATGGTTTGCTTATTCAAACTTCTCAGCTCTAAATTCTCTGTCCCTTGTAAGGATAAGGATATCTTTCTACCCCTGGTACAGGGAGGGTACCTTTCACATGGCAGATTTATATCCTGCTTTCAGGGGGAAAAGGAGGGTCAAAGAGTCTTTCTTGCATTGATTATTTCTTAAGAAAGTCTAATTAAAAATAATCCATATGCAAAGTGGTATATTTTGAGGTGGCATATTCTGCCCGCCCCCCTCACTAACTAGTTAGTTTAAATGGTGACACATTGTCTCTGTCCCTCTTCTGAATGGCTGGAAATGGGGCATCTGTTCCTTTAAGAAACACTTCTTAGAGTGAGTCATCTCTGTCCTCTTGCTTTAGAAATCAAGTTTATTTTCTAATTCTTTCTGTTGAGGAATTTTCTTTTTGGCTTGCCGAATACCAGATGCTGCTCTTGCCCCTTGTGATTTTTTTCAAGCCTTGCTGAATTTGCTAATAAGTTCTGAATGCCGAGAACAGGAAGTGAATCCTCTGGGGAGGCAGAAAGTGGAGTTATCGAAAGTAAAAGAAAACTTCTTCCTGGAGGTGTTTCCATCCCCACCCCCCCTCATCCCCACCCCGTTTCATGGGAATTTTCTCTGGTTGTGTGGAAAAGCCTTAGGAATTTGTATGAAATTAGGCAGTTCAGGGGTCTTGGCATCGGCACTTGGTGACTGTGATGTCGCTGGGACAGGGTGGAGCAGGTGAGTGCCTGGTACAGAGGTGGCTTCTGAATACCATGTTTCCGGGACTCACTCAGGGGGCAAAGTGGGCACACCTCAGGGTCCTGCCAGGGCCCCAGACCTCTGAGCAGGGTTTCCCTCTGAACCATAGCCTGTGGCCTTGCTACTTTTCATCCCTGAAGGATCTCCAGTTCCTCCGCTACATTTCTGTTCTTAGTGTCTCTCCCCCCCTCCCCCAGCCTTGAATACAGACACAGTGTCTCTTTCCTGCTGGGTCAGTTTGGAGATTCATTTTTTACCTACTTAATTTGTTTTCTTTTCCATTTGGGCAGAGGGTTGAGTCAATTGTCAGATTCTCCCCTGCCCTGTTCTAGGTACTCTCTTCCCATTCCTCTCCCACCCCACTTCCTACCCTCCCTACTACCTCCCAAAGGCTGCTCTAAATCTTTTGATAATATCCCTGAATTGATCTGTATCTTTGCAAAACATATCATTGTTTTGTGTATATACCCAATTTCTTAACTATGAACTGGAACTAGTACATAAGTTTCCTCATCATTAAATGGGATTCATACTACCTCATGAGGATTCAAGGAAATAATACAAGTTAACTACTTACAACAGTGACTGGTACTACTAAATTCCCAGGAAGTATTAGCAATTATTACTAAGTATTAGTATTATTTAAATTGTATTTTGCTCGTTCTGTTTCTTTTTTTAAAGAGCAAGCACTCTGGGGCACCTGGGTGGCTTAGTCGGTTAAGCATCCGACTTCAGCTTAGGTAATGATCTCACAGTTTGTGGGTTCAAGCCCTGCATCAGGCTCTTTGCTGACAGCTCAGAGCCTGGAGCCTGCTTCAGATTCTGTATCTCCCTCTCTCTCTTTCCCTCCCCCGCTCGCACTCTGTCTCTCAAAAATGAATAAATGTTAAAAAAATATTTTTAATTAAAAAAATTAAAAAAAATAATAAAATAAAAAGCAAGCACTCTGGCACTTGAAATTCTAGGTTTTGCCAGGTCCCACTTTCTAACTCCTACATACTATTACATGATGGATAGTGTTCACAGTCCTATAGAAGGACTACATAAATTGCCCACCAATCCTCGGCTGATCCAACCGGCAAACCTTGGCCAATATCTGATAGGTACAAAGTGGGTATCATGTTGCTTTATTTTGCATTTCTCGGGTCATTAAAACTTTTGAGCATCACCTTGTACACTTTGGCTGTTTAAGCATCCCTGTCAAGGAACTCCATGTTCACAGCCATTGTCCCTTTATGGGGTTTCTTCTTCTCCTTGATTTGCAGGAAATATTTGTAGGTTGTAGATATTGCTACTCCTGTGGCAGGTTCTGGGAACACAGACATGAGAGATATGGTCCTGCCCTTCTGCAGCTCACAGCCTAGCACAGGGACTGGTCACAAAACAGTGGAACAAATGCTGGGGTGGATGCTCAGAAAGCATCAAGAATCAGGGAATACCTCCTAGGCTATGATTGAGCTACTAATAGGATTTCCCTCTGTTGCTATGTTCTCACTCAGACTTTATGGGCAGAATCAAATGGTAGTGAAGGGCATCGATATTACCACGGCAACTGTACCAAGCCCTCTACAGGTCAGAAGGAACTTTCAGATACTTTGTGTAATCTGCTCAGCCCTAAGGTGAGTCTCTACCTTCTGAAAGCTTATATTCTATTTGGGGAAAGAAAAAAGGAAGGGAAGTGTTTGATTTTTTTTCTTCTTTTAACCTCAAAAAACATTTCAACTGACTCACAGCAAAAAGGCTGGGCTAATGTTGTGTTTTGTTCAGTTATATCTCCAGGGCCCAGACTATGCTAAGGACCCCAGAATTCTTCTCTTTGGTAAGGTCATCTGGGCCTTTCAGGTGAAGGGCCTTTGATTCTAGAGTTTTCTAGGCTACTGAGGGTGGGGTCTGATGGCCTCCTGACCCATGAAGGTGATCTTTGTATTCTGTGTAGATGGGAAACCAGGAGAGTTAGCTGTGGGGGTTAGCAGACCCTCTCAGAGCCATGATGAGGGCTTTGCAGTTATCAGATCTCTCAGAAGTGCTCAACTGATATTTATTGAGTGAAAACATTAAAATCTTCATAATAAACCCCGAAAAATCTGTGAATTCCTGAAATATGGAAAGAAAGGGTTCGTAGTTATCATTCAGTCCAAACTTTCTCATTTTGGAAGGTGGTAATGAGGTCCCAAAGGCAAAATGACCCGTCCAAAATCTCACAGAGTCAAAGCTCAGGGGGCCAGGTTCCCCACCCAGCCCCCTGTCCCATGTTCCTCTAGGACTCTTTTGAGCTCTGGGAGGAGGTGCTACTCGGAGGCGAGTCGGCCTCAGTAAGCCTATGTGACTCAGATATTTCAAAACAGGAAGTAGAGCGAGCTGTGCCTCGTTCTTCCTCAGTTCTTCTGAAGCTCTTTCTTTAGAAACATCAGGAAACAGGGGTCTGTGAAGAAGCTGCTGCCACTGTGAGGGTCCCAGGATTCGCTTCTTTGGTAAGGTTGGTTGGGCCTGCAGGGAGAAAGGGCCTTTGATTCTGGAGTTTTCTAGGCTGCAGAGGGTGGGGAAACCGCAAGAATTAGCAAGCAGTCTTTTTGAGACCCACGGTGAGGGCCCTACAGATTCTAGATCTCAAGGCCCCCTCCAGCTTAGGTTCGGTTTTTCTGGAATGATCCAGGTATAACTATACAGGGAACCTCATCCTTAATCAAATTGTGACATAAACAGTGGTAGGGTTGGGACCCTGGAATGAGATCACACCATCTAAGTCCGGGTTCTAGCACATACAGGTTTGATTTATAAGGTTCTGATCCGTTCTGTTTCAAAGTGGATTTATTAAGAATTCCTGGTTTTGTGTTTTGGGAGGGTTTTTTTTTATTATTTTAATCTTTAAACATATTATGATTACATGCCTTTTTTGGTTACATTCCTTCACTGGCTTCCATCTGCAAGTAGAATAAAATCTAAATCTTTGCACGGCTTGTCATTGAAGCCCTCAAGTGAGATGTTCAAATCTGAGCTTGCCACCTCTCTTACTAGCTTCTTTCTAAACTTTTTTTTTTTTACAATAGTAACATGAAGATGATAATACCAATTTCTTCAGAGGCTTGTAGTACAATGAGTCAAAAAATATTTTTATGTTTATATGCATATGTTATAAGCGCCTGTATATCATAATAAACATTTATATCAAATACTTTGGGACATAAATTTATCATTGAAAATATTAAAGATACTTATATGTTGTATAATACAAATATACTTATGTGGATTTATTATTTAACAGATATTATATAATCAAAAGTAAAAGAAAACTTCCTGGAGGCCATTCCTTTCTTCTGGCTTATATATATTATTCATGAAAATATTCAAATTTATGTATTTCATGTATGTATATAAATACATTACATATATGCATTTATACACACACACACACACACACACACACACACGTGAATATAGTTGGAAGGAAACCAAATGTAACCAAAGAGTTATCTAAATGGTGAGTTTCTAAGTAATTTTTCTTTTTCTTTTTATACTTTTTGGTACTTTCTCTAAGGGGTAAGTGTGACTTTTACTATTTTAAGATCAGAAAAATACAACGATAAAAGTTCTTTTAAAAATATTACTGTAACAAAGTTTCTAGCTCCTGATCTTATGTGGTAAACCTAGGTCCCATAAAACAAGGACCATCCCCCAGTCCCTGTATCTACCGATCTCAGTGTCTAGAGTGGCTCCTTGGCCAGTGGTGTAAAATTCTGTTGCAGCTGATTCTTTTCCAGGCACTATGACTAGAGAGATGTATGACCTAAACAAAGACTGAATATTATGCCATAGTGTGTCCTGTAAAACCTTAGCCAGAAAAGAAGCCTCTCCAGCATTTTTCCACTGAACTTTCCATTTTGATGTGATACAAAAATCATTTAGAAAGCATTGTCTAATTATTGCAAAGATAAGAAAATGAACGCGATGAGGCAGCTACAGAGGACAGAAGCCAAGGGCCAATCATATTATAATCAACCTCAGGTCATCCTGGCCTGAGGATCATCAAAATAATTGTATGATTATTATTATTTATATACTGTCAGAAAATGCTATTAAATATGTAACAGACGCCTTAAGAAGGCTTCAGTAGTTAGTACTTCTAGGAAATTATTGTAAGAAAATAATCAGAGTTGTATATGGAGACAGACATTTTAAGATCTTATTCTATATGTAAGCAGAGACTGTTATATAAATTATGGCCCAATCATATGATTAGGTACTTGACAAATTTTAAAATCCGTTCAGTAGAAGAAAAAATGAAGATATCAAGATGTACTTACAATATTACCATTGGAAATATCCACTTATACCTCAGAAATATGGTATGATAAAATACAAGGGAAAATATAAATATGTAAAATATTTGGTAGGAAAGATAGTAAAATATTAGATAAAATATCGATTATTTCGATATTAAAATATTATTATCTTTGGATGGTGAATTATAGACAATTTTTATTTTCTTTTTTATCTTTTCTGTATTTTCTAAAATGAATACAATGAGCATTGTTATAAAAAAATTTGTAGAGGGAAGAAAAGAGATTCTGCTTTCATTTGATTCTTTGGTTCATTTGACTGTGTAAAATGAGATTTTAACAGTGGTTAGAACTGATAAAATTTTTAAGGACATTGGAGCTAATGGTGCTAAACAGGGCTGGACCTAGTTTAGATCCTTTCCAACTTATGAATGAAAATGGGCCTTTAAGAGGTGATTTTAATTTAAATATAAGTTCTTGTAGAATAAGTAATACATGCACCTAGGAAAATCCAAACTGTAAGCCTTATTTTCTGCCTACCCCCTGGCCTCGTCATCCACTCCACCCCTGGGCGTCTAGTTCGTCTCCTCTGAGGCAAACCGCTGAAGCAGCTGCTTGTGTATTCTATTCAAAGATCTGTGAGTACACAAATCCATGCACCACTTGATAATACATTGTATAGATCTTCCCATTCTTTAAAAATGTCAGAGTAGAGTTTCATTGCACTTCTGATATTGATAAACAGTTGTTTCTGCCCTTTTGTTCTTTCAAGCAGTACAGACATGAATAGCTTTGTACATATTTTTAAGTACATGGCGTTTAAGCTAATGTAGGAAAAACTCCTAGAAGTTAAATTGTGAAGTCATTTTATATTTTTACCGATATGACCAAATTACTTACCTACCTGTTTTTATTTCTACCATCTCGCAACACTGTGTATTGCAAGTTTTGTACCTCACCAATTTGGCAGTTGAAAAATGGTCTTTTGTAATTTCAACTTGCTTTTTTTTTTTTCTTGGTGAATGAGGTTGAATACGTTTTCAAATGTTTGAAAGCCATTGGTTTAAAAAAATAAAGCCACTGGTACTTACTTTTCTCTGAACTCTGTGCTTATGATGCTTATGAACTGTGTGCTTACCTGTTTATGCATCGGATTGGATCTCTTTATCTCTTTTATCTCTTTTTCAAAAAAAATGGACTTACGGGAGCCTTATTTTAAGAAAATAGGTCCTTTTTCTACTTTTTTCCCTAAGTGCAAGATTTATTAATTTTTAAATTTTGCTTGGCTTATTGTTGCAGGATATTTTGGTTATTATTTAAGGACATTTATCAACCTTTATTTGTTGGTTTCCAGGTTTTCTGTTGTACTTACAAAGGTTCTTCACCACGGCATGATTATTTTAAAAAATTGTCCTGTATTTCTTTCCTGAGTATTTTAATTTTTGGGTTTGAATCTCTGGTCCATCTGCAGCTTATTTTAATGTAAGGAGTTCAGTTATGGTCCATTTGTTTGTTCTAGAAGTCTGCCCAATTGTTTTAACACCATGTGTTGAAAAAGCCACCTAAACGTGGATAGCCCTTTCTGTAGTATGTTTGGCTTAGCCATTTTTCATTGTTAACTTCTAATTAACACATTAATTTCTAATTTCATTGCTAACTTCTAAAAGAGAATATGGACTGCAATATTTCTGCTCTTTGGAAATCTCACATTAAGATTTTCTTTGTGGACAATCTTCGTGACTATTTGATACGTGTTTGAAAGGACGTGCATTTGCTACTGGGAGGAAATACTGTTACAGTTGGTCATTTGTACCACCTGGATATTCCAGTCTTCTACTTAGTCTATTAGACTTTTTATTTTCTAAGAAAGGTGTGTGTGGAAGTTTCCTTCTCCTTTGGGGGCAAATAAGGTCTCTGAGTTCTCTTAAAGTTCTTTTTTAACGTTCAAGTTCTTCTAATACGTTCTTTTCTTTCAAGAACACACATGTGGTAGTGCCGCGCCTCTCCCTGGTCTCCTTTCCTGGTTAATCTGCCCTTGGCATCCCAGACAGCCTCGTTTCCTGCTCCTCCTTCACTTACTCTCTTACAGTACCTTAAACCCAAGAACACACCCAAGTGTTTTTACAGTAGTTTCATTTTCACAGACACTATCTGCATACGTTCTTCATAACGTATTACAGGAAAAGGGCAATTCTCCTTCCTCACGTCTTCACCCCCAAGTCCTAGTTTTCTCCTTCATTTCCCAGAAGAAACTTTTGAATTTGATATGTCTCTTCCCAGAACCTTTTCTTTTTCTTACCTTTTCTTTTCTTTTTCTTACCTTTTTCTTTTCCGCTTTTGTATATGTATCTGTAACCACTGAAAGTGTAATAGTACTGTTTTGAGTATTTTTTAAAAAGTGGATGTATGATTTTTAAACATTTTTTAATGTTTATTTATTTATTTTGAGAGAGAGGGAGAGAGAGAGAGAGAGAGAGAGAGCGAGGGCTAGCACAAGCACCAGAGAGAGGCAGAGAGAAAGAGGGAGATAGAGAATCCCAAAACGGCTCCATACTCTGAACTGTGAGATCATGACCTGAGCCGAAATCCAGAGTTGTCTGCTTAACCGACTGAGCCGCCCAGGTGCCCTGATGTATGATTTTTTTTTTTTTAAATATTGCAATTTATTTTTCTATTTTTTTTTGTACTGTCATAATAACACATCTTGGGTAGCTATTGTTTTTATTTCAGAAGATGGAGTACATTTTCTTAACTGCTGCATAATATTCTGTAGTATGACCATACCTTGTTTTATTTAGCCATTTCTTTATTGATGGACATTTGGGGTGTTTCCAGTTGTTCAGGGTTACACATTGTGTGGTGGTGACACTCCATGCACATATCCTGTTTAGCACACGTGTGTTTCTATGGAGTGTGGTTTAAGGAATGAGCTTGCTAGTTTGTTCCCTTATATGTCCAGTGAAGTTTGCTGCATTAAAAAAAAGGTTTTTTTAATGTTTTATTTTTTGAGAGAGAGACACACACAGAAAGTGAGCAGGGAGGGACAGAGAGAGGGAGACACAGAATCCAAAGCAGGCTCCAGGCTCCAAGCTGTCAGCACAGAGCTCAACACGAGGCTCGAACCCATGAACCCTGAGATCATGATCCGAGCTGAAGTTGGACACCCAACCGACCGAGCCACTCAGGTGCCTCTGCTGCATTTCAAACATATGCTGTTAGATGGTGGGTATATATTTAAGATATCTTTTCTAAATAAAATAATTTTCATGATAATTGATTGCTTTTGTGAAAGATGTAGGCTCTGGAGCCTTTGTGAATCCAGTGCAAAGTGTATCTTCCTAAGAGATTTCTAGTTTCCTGAATCAAGAAAACTTGTCTAAACAAGGATGTAAGCCCTGGGGTGCCTGAGTGGTTCAGTCCATTGAGCGTCTGACTTCAGCTCAGGTCATGATCTCACAGTTTGTGGGTTTGAGCCCCGCGTGGGGCTCTGTGCTGACAGCTCCGAACCTGAAGCCTACTAAGGATTCTGTGTCTCCCTCCCTCTCTGCCCCTCCCCCACTCATGCCCTGTCTCTCTCTCAAAAATTAACATTAAAAAAAAAGTTATAGGGGTGCCTGGGTGGCGCAGTCGGTTAAGCCTCCGACTTCAGCCAGGTCAGGATCTCGTGGTCCGTGAGTTCGAGCCCCGCGTCGGGCTCTGGGCTGATGGCTCAGAGACTGGAGCCTGTTTCCAATTCTGTGTCTCCCTCTCTCTCTGCCCCTCCCCCGTTCATGCTCTGTCTCTCTCTGTCCCCCAAAAAATAAATAAACGTTGAAAAAAAAAATTAAAAAAAAAAGTTATAAACAATAATGTAAGCTCTAGGTTAAAAGGGAGAAAAAAGGTTTTGCCCCATAATTCCAATTCTAAGAGTGAGGTAATCAGAATTATGCACAGGATATATAAAAAAGCTTCTCAATACAATATTATTTTTAAGAGTAAAGAAATTGAAAATTCTTTAAAATAAATTTCGAGACATCTGGATGGCCAACAGGCACATGAAAAGATGCTCAATGTCGCTCCTTATCAGGGAAATACAAATCAAAACCACACTCAGATATCACCTCACGCCAGTCAGAGTGGCCAAAATGAACAAATCAGAAGACTATAGATGCTGGAGAGGATGTGGAGAAATGGGAACCCTCTTGCACTGTTGGTGGGAATGCAAACTGGTGCAGCCACTCTGGAAAACAGTGTGGAGGTTCCTCAGAAAATTAAAAATAGACCTACCCA